AGCTAAAAATAGAAATACCATTCGATCCAGCAATAGCACTATTAGGCATCTACCCAAAAGAGCACAAAACATTCTACGATAAGGATATCTGCACCCGAATGTTTATGGCAGCACAATTCACTATTGCAAGAATGTGGAAACAACCCAAGTGCCCGTCAATCCATGAATGGATTGAATTTTAATACAGAAAGGAACATGGTATACTATGGAATTGGGATAGATGAGTATATTTCAAAGCAAATTGCATTATTTCACAATCTTTCCATTTTTTGTTATATATAGGTACCATAGCATTTTTATATTTTTAATATTTTTATTTATTGACTCACTTTTTAAACAAAAACTAGCCTTGGTCAAAGCAATGAAAATATGCTTAGTTAGTTAAATGCCATAACCCAACTTCTTCAAAATGTGGTATACTAAATAACTATAGGTAGTCAAATATTTATTTTTATTTCAATAACTTTGTAGCTATTATGTGTATTTTAGCAATGTAACTATAGCATCAAACTCATGATTTCATATTTGCATTGCTTTGAACCCAATCCTTGAACACACATTGTCAGGAAGCCAGGAGATCAAATGAACATTCCTAGAGAAAGTGCCCAGAAAAAATATATGGGGAGTGTAAGGCCCAGTCTAGTTCTCAACTTCTGTAACCCCCCTTTCCTCAAGCTAGGGGCACACCATCACTTTCTGTACCCAATCCTGACCCATTTTGCAAACTAGTTTTGACCTGGAGTAGTTTATTATTATTTGTGGACTCAGCTTCTGTACCCACAATGAAGCTGGGCTGGTCATGAAGCTTCGGGTCACTGACCAGATGTCAGGGGAAGTTCACAGGCTCTCAGCCAAAAGTAGACCTAGGTTTGCATTTCAGTTTAATCACTTAGTCCTTAGTGTGACCTCAGCCAATAATGATGCTAAATAATATTTACAATTATGTGTGTGTACCAAGTCTTTGATATACAGTGTCTCATTTAAACCTATATAATCTTCTGAAGAAGTACTGTTATTCCCATCTTACAGATGAGGAAACTGAGGCTCAGAGAAGTGCTTGTGGTTACATTGCTAGTAAAATTGGCAGAGTCAACCGAACTTGAATTCAGGTCAGCCAACACTTTAACATATGGTCTCCTGCAGCCACGTGGCTTAATATTTCTCAGCATAGTTTTCTCTTCCCTAAATTGGAGATATTAATGCTTAATTCGTAAGGTTGTTCTGAGGATGACATTCACTATCTGGGGAAATGCTTCCACACAGTAATTATGAGTTCCTTCCCTGGTTCCTAAGAGGCAATTTTTGCTAGTAGACTTCTGCCCTGGTTTTGTTTGTAAGTCACTGTTCTGATATTCCATACGCCCACCTTTCCCAATGGGTTTGCCTCCTTTCAGCCACTGCAGCTGACCCCTGCTACCTCAATGGGCCCTTAATATGGCAGTGTCAGCCTTGTCCTCCTGCAACCTTCCTCCTCCTCTTACTCCTCCCCCATCCTGCCCTTGACCAGATGAGTCCTATGCTTTGACAGGAAGAGTGCGGATGTGGAGCTCATCTGTGGTACCAATTACTGAATGAGGATCTTTAAAATTCTCCAAATTTTCTTTCACCTTACAAGCAACCCTGGTGAGTCTGAACCAGTTGGGTCCTTGAGTCCTTTGGAGCTGCCCCACCTGTTCCCTGTCTGTGTGCCTACCTATTTCTGAGGCCGGATAATAACCATCTGATACTCAGGCCAGGAGTCCACCAGCACCTCCATGTTGAAGGGGTTACCATGACTGATGTAATATACAGAGCCATACGCTTGAAGGAGGAGAGAAAGGGACTAGGAGAGGTTGGGATCCTCAGAGATGGGGACCTGGATGTGATGAGGAAGAGAGAAAATGCAGGCCAAGTGAGGGCACTAGAACTAAGTCAGTGATGGTAATCAGATAAGCATTGTCTCTTGGACCATATCGATGGAAGTGAAGTCACCAGCAAGCAGGCAGAAGAACTCACGGGTGTCCTTGTGATAACAAATAGTCGTTGTGGTTGTTGTGCACTAACTGGACACTTGATCTGCTCTTAGTACATATGTTGTTTGGTTTTATGTAGTGCTCACAATGACTTTAAGAGGTAAGTGCTAGTATTATTCTCATATCACAGATGAAAAGACCAAGACCTTCTTCACCACGGAAAGGTGAAGAAGCATGCCCAATGCCACTGAACTAGAAAATGGCAGACTTGGAACAGATACCCATTCAGTCTGGCTTCAAAACCTGTTCTCTTGGCTAGCATCCCCACTGCCTCTCCCAATGGATGGCAAAACCCGCAGACTAGGCCTACTCCCACCTCCTCAGAAGGAGCCTACTGTACTCTCATCCCTAACACTCCCACACCTACACCCCGACCCCCTGCTGTACCCTAACCTTTAGGGACTCAGGGATGCTTCTGGCCAAGGATTTGTTTAGGGTTAGAAGCTTCTGGGAATTATTCAGTAGAAGCATTTTCTAGAGTGCTTCAGTCCTTGAGCCCTTCAAGCAGAAACCCTGAAAAGATAAGAAGCAAAGGGAAAATGTTAAGAGACCATGTGAATTAAAAATGCACTTTACGCATGTCATTCAAATAATACTCATGAGGTAGGTACAGCTAGCAGCATCCTCATTCTGAAGATACCAAAGCTCAGAGAGACTAAGTGACTTTCTCAAGTTCTTCCAGAGACAAATGGCAGAGTCAGATTTTAAAACCACATATGTATGACTCCAAAACCCATGCTCTTCCTCCCTGGTGGAATGACTTAGACATGAACATTAAGAGCTCTGTGAGGTTCCCAAATGTCTGCAGTAGAACTCTGAGCCACTGTCACTACAACCCTTTTTCTAAATCTTGATCATTAGATGCCTGAGAAGCCTTCTCTCATCTGGAATAGAGATTATCAGCCCTTCAAGGACAGTTGCAAATGGAAAACTTAGAGCAGGTGTTGGCAAAGATTTTCTTTAGTTTCTTAGAGACAAACTAGTAAATATTCTAGGCCTATGGACATTTTGGAATTTGTCTCAGTTTCATTATAAAAATTGATAAGTAAGAAAAATTTTTGACACATACCCATAAACTTTAGTTGAAATGACATTTGCAATCCTGGGAAATGTGCCAAGAATTTAAAAATAATTTGGAGAAGGCCATCAGTATACTGATAGTTGTTCAAAACGCAGGTAAGGTTCAAATTTTAATTCTTCCTCCTACTTCCTTGTCAAGTTGCTTAACCAATCAGAACTTTGAAATGTTTTCTCACTAATAAACTGTAAATTAGAATGCATGCTCTTCAGATTTATGGGATTACACAATGTAATGCATACATAAAATGCATAGCATTATACTTGGCATAAAGTAAGTACAGTATTTAACAAGTTTTTTTTGATTGATTTTGTATGATCAACATGTCATTTATAGATTTAGCAATTATATCCAATGATGTGAAAAATAATAAAACATGTGAAGAACTTACCAGTTTAATTAATATAAGAAAACAACCCATGGATCAGGTATTTTAAATGGTGATTAGCAAATTAGTTAATACAGAGGTTCAAAACTTTTTAACCACAGGGGTAAAATAGTTAATAAATATGTGTTAATTAATAGGCAAGGTGAAACCTATTTTCCCTGGGATCGAAGGCCTATTAAAGTTACACTATCTTCTGTATTTTGATGAAGAAATCTTTAAACTGAGGACTGAACTCTGATTTTTTCCTTTTGCCCAATTCCTTTCTTAGGGGCCTGGTGAGTCAAGCCTACAAATGATAAATCTCATTAACAAGTTTTGTTAACCCAATATAATGTGGTTTACTTCCCAACCTGATTCCAGTATAGTATTGCATGAAAGATAGAAGACCACCTTATCTTAACTCAAGCATCCTAGCTATATTTATGTTAACTCAAGAGATCCTCCTGTCTGGACCTCCAGAGTTCTCAGACCCTTATCCCAAGCATTCCTTCCCACTGACTCCTGGTCTTTTAGACAAGGCCTAACTCTTTCAGCCAATTGTCAACTAAAGCAGCGGTCCCCATCATTTTGGGCACCAAGGACCAATTTCATGGAAGACAATTTTTCCACAGATCTGGGGGGTGGGACAGAGAATGGTTTTGGGATGATTCAAGCATTACATTTATTGTGAACTTTATTTCTATTATTATTACATTGTAATATATAATGAAATAATTATACAACTCATCATAATGCAGAATCAGTGGGAGCCCTGACTGGCTGTAAATACAGATGAAACTTTGCTCACCTGCCCGCCGCTAACCTTCTGCTGTGTGGCCCAGTTCCTAACAGGTCATGGACCATGACTGGGCCATGGCCCCAGGGTTGGGAACCACAGAACTAAAGAATCCCTAAGCCCACCTATGACTTATAAGCCTCTGCTTTGAGATGTCCTGACTTTTCAGGCCAAATCAATGTATGCCTTCCATGTATTGATTTATGGCTTTACCTGTAAATCCCATCTCCCTGACATGTGTAAAACCAACAGTAACGCAACCACAGTGAGTCACTTGCTCAAGGCCTCTTGGGCATGGATCTGGGCCATGGTCCTCAAATTTGGCTCAGAATTAACCTCTTTAAATTATTTTAGAGTTTGGATTTTTCTGTCCACACACAAAAGCATCCTGTTGCCCCAGCTCAGAATTTCAGAATGTTTAAGAAATGTCTAGTATATAGACCTGGGTCTCTTCCCTGAGTCTACTCTGCCTTCTTGTGCTATTTTTAGAGCAGTCAGCAAAAGCTGGTCGCTTTTGTCTACCTCCTCCAAGTGATTTTCTTGCTCTGCATTTCTTCCCTGATTGATCTAAAATTGCCTGTACCCATGTCTTTCACTATTTCAAAGGATTTCAAAATCCTTTCAAAGGATTTTTTTCCTTTGAACTTTCGGGAAGGTTTTAGAAGTTTTAATTCAAGATCTGCCATGCTTTATCAGTTTCCCAAAAGAACTGGTGTGTCATTTGCCCTGAAAACACTGTAGCCTGGACTGACATATGAGAAGAATAAACTTTTGTTCCCTCACACCAATCAGCTACCACATCTTTCTCCAAAATACCTCTCCTGTCCATTCCCTCCTCCATCCCTTCTGCCATAACCTTAGTTCGAGACCTGCTCCTCCTCATATTAGAATATTGCTGTTATCACTTCGCATTGATTTCAGCTTCTAATATCTACTCAAATAAAAGTTTTCTCTACCTTTACCTTCAAGTTTTCCTTTTTTAATCAGAAAACTCCTTAAAAACCTGGGTAAACCCTTCTGCCCTATTTTTTTTTTAAATTGTAGTAAAGTATACATAGCATAAAATTTACCTTTCTAACCACTTTTAAGTGTACAACTCAGCGGCATTAAGTACAGTTACAGTGTTGTACAACCATCACCATTATCCATCTCCAGAACTTTATTGCCACCCCAAAGAGAAACTGTACCCAACAATTACCCATTCCCCCTCTTCCAAGCCCCTGACAACCTCTATTCTACTTTCTGTCTCTAAGAATTTGCCTATTCTAGGTACTTCATATAAGTGGAATTATACAGTATTTGTACTTTTGTGTCTGGCCTATTTCACTTAGCATAATGTTTTCAAGGTTCACTCATGTAGCATATGTCGGAATTTCATTCCTTTTAAAGGTGGAATAATTTTCTATTGTATGTATGTGTGTGGGTATATATATGAACACAGGGTGTCTTTCCATTTATTTAAGTCTTCTTTAATAATTTTCAGCAAGATTTTATAGTTTTCAGTGTACAGGTCTTTCACTTCCTTGGCTAAATTAATTCCCAACTATTTTATTCTTTTTGATATAATTGTAAATGGAATTGTTCTCTTCTTTGCCTCCAACTCTTTCTGTGTCAGGATTGAATTTAAATCGTTTGATTTCATATTCCAGGCCATCACTGCTAGACCTCAATCTACCATCCTAGTTTCATATCTGACTGCATCTTCCATCCACCTTGCATTCCAAGAGGATTCTTCTTATTACATGCTGTAGGTTTTCTAAGCCCAGGAAACAAAAAAGCAAATGTCTTCCCATCTTCCTCAACTGGTAAAGTCAAATTCACTATTTCAGAATTCAGGTTCTAGGATGTGAATGTTTATAGATAGTACATAACTATATTGAAGATCACTCTGATTATATCTGAGTTAGAGGACTTTGTTGAAAAAATGGTTGACCCCACACACTAAGATAATGGTTGATAACACTTTCAACAACAAAACCCAAAGTAAACAGGGAAAACTTAAGCCAATAAAAAAATTGGTCCTAAATGTATAATTACACCAAATAATGTTTATCAACTTGAACATGTCCTAAAGATATAAACTAGTTTGCATAATAAACCAACCACCTAAAGCACTAGTGTTCCCAATACAGAGATTAAAGGAGGAGACAGTTTTCTTAATAAGTTTAAAGTCTCCTGAAAAAAAGAATAAATTTGTATAATTAATGACATTTAGTTAACATGAGTATCACATAATCAGTAGTCATTGAGAGACTATATAGAAAAGCAATTATAATGAATAGATGGGTAAAAAGCAAAATATATAATAATTTGTACATGATACTTACCCCAAATACTATGTATATGGATAAGGATTTGAAGAGAATAAATAAATATAAAATTGTTTTGGGGTGGTAGAATATGTGTCATTCATTTCTTATTTCAGAATTTTCTTTAATACAATTGGCAAGTTTTTATTTTTATACAAGTTAGAAAAAACATGGAGACACTGGAATTATAGTTAAACATGAGGATTTGAAAACAGAAAAAATGCTATCTTTCTTTTTATTATTATAAACTTGTTCAGCTGAATCTCCCTTCTCCTACAAAATTATCAAAATTCTGGACAAGCTAACAGTCAACAGCTCAGCAGAGTGGAACCACTCCCCGAGAGCAGCCCCCTTGCTCACATTGTCAACTCAGCACAAACACAGATGCAAGAGTCTGAATGTCTGGGGTCAGATCCCATCTCCATGAGCTATTAGCCACCACATGACCTCTCCAGTGTCAAGTTCCTCATAAAAAAATGAGAATTACGGTACCTAGCAGGGCCTTTTGGTTTCAAGTAACAGAAACTGGCTCTGGCTCACTCAAGCAAGAAAGGAAAATTAATTATCAAGATATAGCACAAAACAATGGTGATATAGCACCTCTTGTGTTCTCCTGGATAGAGCTGGAACACATTCTACTAAGTGAAGTATCCCAAGAATGGAAAAACAAGCACCACATGTACTCAGCATCAAATTGGTATTAACTGATCAACACATAAGTGCACGTATAAGAATAACATCTATTGGATGTCGGGCAGGGGGGGAGGGGGGGGGACAGGTATATGCATACACAAAGAGTGCAATGCGCACCATCCGAGGGATGGACACACTTGAAACTCGGACTTGGGGGGGGAGGGGGGTCAAGGGCAACATATGTAACCTAAACATCTGTACCCCCATAATATGCTGAAAAAAAAAGAT